TCCCCTTTTGATATGGATACCATTAGGCCCAACCTAATGACCTTCTTGTAACTTGATTACCTTTTTAAAGATCCTTTCTCCAAATAAGATCAAATTCTGAGATTGGGGGCGTTGGGATTTTGACATATCTTTTTTGAGAGAGACACAATTCAACCCAAAACAGATACCTATGTGTTTTAGCTTGTTTTCAAAGCTGGTGTTTGTATGAGAGTGAATTATTCATGTATAAATTTCTGAGATTGTGCATTCAATGTTTTAATGCCCAAAGTATTCACTGTTTCTCTACTCAGCCCTTTAACCCAAACCCTCTGATAAACTCCGACTGTGTTTTCAAATAAACTCTTTCTCAGCGCTACAGCTCAGTGCCAATTGTGAGCCTCCTCACCCCCAACAGTGGACCACAGGTTGGTGGAGTTGATAAATTTGGCAGCAAACCCCTTTCTCGGTGGGTTTCCCCACAAGAAGCCTGTATCCAGGATGGTGACAAGTGAGGGCAAAATGACTCCCAGAGAGCAGGGTAACAGATTGACATGCTGCTTGCATAGTCCAGGGTTCAAAATTACGAGGTAAGGGTGTACGATAATCATAGCTGAAGTTGTTTTGGAGAATTCTGAAACTACCAATTGAGATGGGTTTGGAGTGTGGTGTCGTGTACTGCATTTATCTCATCTGTAGAGCTTGACAGTTCCTGAGCAGATTAACACAGTTGGAAGATGTACTGGAAGAAGCGTGGAGCTGAATACAAAGCAGCAATGCCTGTTCTGCAGTGACTAGGAGAAAAGGCAAGTTCGTATTCAGGCCCAATAAGCTTGGTAGACAGCTAATACTGTCCAGCTGGGCATACTGTGTCCCAGGACTAAGGAATGGCAATCGTGGGTTATTTGGAAGATTCAATGTCTGCTGGCTAAGAAAAGTAGATGTGGATGAAAGGTTGGTGCACTGAGGGACGTATAAACTCCTAGATCCCAGGTCTTCATTAATCAGGTTTTAGGTTGCTGTTTGGGAATGAGAACTATAGATGAGATCATCAGCTTTTCCAAGAGAAGTTAAAAATCAGGAATTTTATTAACATAAAATTTCTAATTTTAAAAATGTTGGCTACTATTTTGGTTTTTGTGTTTTGTTTGTTGGTTGGTTGGTAGATTGGTGGGTTTTAAGATTGAGCAAGCCAAAGAATACATGTCAGTGGGCCACATGTAGCCGTTAGGCTGCTACTTGGGACTCCTCTTCAAAAACCATCTTCTGCTTCAAAATATTAAAATCTAATGTATTTTAACTCAGCAACCAGCTAGATAGCTGAAGTGGTCTGTCTCTGTGTCCCCACCCAAATCTCATTTTGACTGGTAATCCAAATTGTAATCCCCATGTGTTGAGGGAGGGACCTCATGGGGAATGATTGGATCATAGGAGCAGTTCCCCCATTCTGTTCTTGTGACAGTGAGTTCCCTTGAGATCTGATGGTTTTATAAGGGGCTTTCCCCCTCTTCACTCTGCACTTCTCTCTCCTGTCACCATGTGAAGAAGGACATGTTTGCTTCCTCTTCCACTATGATTGTAAGTTTCCTGAGGCCTCCCCACCTATGCAGAACTGTGAGTCAATTAAACCTTTTTCCTTTATAAATTTCCCCATCTTGGTATTTCTTTATAGCAGCATGAAAACAAACTAATACAGTAGCTTTTCTTTACTCCTGCCTTACTCTTTTAGGTTGAGCAAATTCACACCATCAGTAAGATTACTTAGTTCTTGTTATTTGTAAATTTGAAAACCACATATCCATCTGTTAGCTTTAGGAAATCTGAATCTAAAAACATGCAGCAGTAAACCATTAGGGGGTGTGTGGGTCTCCACAGTATCTTGTAGACATGTGCCTGCACCTACCTCACCAAGACAGCTGCTCACTTCACACCTCCCTAATGAGACAGTTCTGTGTGTCACCCACAAGGGCAGTGGAAATTGGGGAACCCCAAGCCTTTTGTTGTGATCACTATTATTATTATCAGCATCATTATTAGAACAGTGATAATAATAGCTTTCCATCACTATTTGTCTTCATATATTATGCCACCTCTGTTAAGCCTATTGTTGAAGGTAATCTGCACAGTAGCCTGCAAAGGTAGGTGCTGCTGTCTCTGTTTCCAGGGGAGGAAGCGGACTTAGTCACTGAATCGCGTAGGGAGTTAATATGATAGATCAGAGAATTTAAGCTATTTCTCAGAGGTTTTATAGTTTTTTTCTTTTTTTTTTTTTTTTACTTCATAGTTCACTGGGGAGGTGGGAGGGGATATGCCCCTATAATTTTGCATTTTAAAAATTTTTGTAAAAGTGTACAAGTGAAGCTAACTTCTTTAGAGATACTAGCAACATTTCAAGTCAAAACAAACCAAAAAGAAAAAGAGAAGAGAAAGAAAAGAAAAATAGAAGCGTTTCTCATTATGTTACTATCTAGTCTAATACTTCATGGAAAGGAAAGCCAAAAGAAGGTCACCTGCTGCCTGAGAAGAGTTGGCAGTAGCTGGGATCTCAGTTATCAGTCAGCTCTCAAGACTGAGCCTGCCTGAGGCAGCCAGCATGGAAATGTGTTCACACATACAAAACTGATGAATTTTACAAAGTGGGGATTTGAAAATCCAAGAAGTTCAGATTAGAATGTAACAAATGGAGAGGGACTCCGCATGACTAAAATAGATGGAGCACAGAGTATCCTCCTACAGAAGAAGGGAAGAAACAATGCAGCACATCAGGAAGATAAATACCTCCTGCCTTCCCTTTCCAGGTCCAGGGAGAAGTGAGTCATGGACCATGCCAGAAGAGACTGTTGCCTCCCTGTCAGGCTCCGATACTTGCAGTTGGTAGCCTCCACTTTGGTAGGAAATGAGTGTGCATTAAGCATCATTTCCGCCCAAATTATTTTTATTATTATTTCAAAACAAACCTGGAAGTTCCACCTTGGAGCAACTTGTTTTAATATTTTGTGGACATCTTAAGTCAAGAGCTTCACTGGTTGGGTCCAAATCCACAGTTAGACACTCCTTCAGCTGTACATTCTAAAGAGCTGATTTCACAGAGCTGTTTTACATCAGTGAGTGATTATGTTTGATTGAAACAAAATAAAGGAGAAGTTTTCTATGTCAATATTATGTTCCTACTTAGAGAAAATTGAAAATAGAACTTGAGAAGGCAAGGACCTTAAACTAAATGCAGAAGCTCATGAGTGAGAATTTTTCCATTCCTGATTTTTTTTCCAGGTAAAAGAGTCACTTAATTAATATGTACAAGGTGATCACTGTGTCCTCAGAACTATCCTGGAATTCCATTACGAATAAAAAACAGTTCCTGCCTTTGGGTAGCTTTTCACAAATCAAAAGTCACTGAGTAAACTCCATGGACAGCTACTTGTACAGTGTGTTGCGCTAGGTTTGGGGATGGGGGTAAAAATAAATCTAATGCTGGCTGCGCACGATGACTCACGCCTGTAATCCCAGCACTTTGGGAGGCCGAGGCGGGAGGATCATGAGCTCAGGAGATTGAGACCATGGCTAACACGGTGAAACCCCGTCTCTACTAAAAATACAAAAAATTAGCCGGGTGTGGTGGCAGGCGCCTGTAGTCCCAGCTACTCGGGAGGCTGAGGCAGGAGAATGGTGTGAACATGGAAGACAGAGCTTGCAGTGAGCTGAGATCGCGCCACTGCACTCCAGCCTGGGTGACAGAGCGAGACTCCGTCTCAAAAATAAAATTAAATTAAATTAAAAATAAATAAATAAAGCTAATGCTTATTCTACAACTGACTTGCTGCCTTTCAAGTGAGTTCCTGGGTCTCAGGTTCCTCACTTGTGGAAGGCAGAATAACAGTTCCTTCCTTGTACATCTCATAGGGACGTCGTGTATATCACACAGAATAATGTCTGTGCAGCCCTCTGAAATCATTATGCAGTCCCCATCCTTAAGAAACCTGCTTTGAGGTCAGGGATACATGACAAAGAAATGTAAAATGACCAGAGAAGACCCCTGGGTGGTCTGTGTTCAACTACCAACTGTTTGGTGGTTGACTTCAAATGCCATTGGAAAGGGAAGCTAAAAATGGAACTGTTTGGTAAAAGTATGGATTTTTCAATATTTAGACATTTCGTGTTTTATAGCAACTCCGTATCTGCCATCCACATGTGTTGAAATTGATGCAATGAACATTCTTTGCCATGTATCCTGAGGAAGGCCCATTCCATTAGGATTCCCCCAAAGGCAGTCTAGCTGCTTGGGCTTCAGCGTGGCATACAGAATATGGAGGGAACGTTGGGGAGGGGCCCCTACCAGTACCCCAATGTATACTTCAGTGCCATGCTAAGGGATTCACCGAACTCCTTGGGAAGGGCTATTTCCTACCTTTGATTAACTATGTACCTTTAAATTTTAGAGTAGGTCTTGGATCTATGCACCTGTGTGAGTATGGTGATTATCTAGATTTTAATCTGATTCTGCCTGCCACAGGCAAGTGAAAATGGAGCTTAAGGTACCTGGGGAAAATGTGTGAGTTATGATGGTTGCTTTCTAAATATAAAGGGAAATGTTCCTTATACCAAATTTCATATTCCAGAGAATATGCACGCATTATACATTAATTTAATAAGATCACAATCCCAGAAAAGAGATAATGTGACTTACTAGCTCTTTAAAAGGTTTGGTGACTTGTGTAAACCATTGCACTCATTTTGGATCCCACCATCCACGGTTCACAGCCCAAAGGGAATGTAGTTTGACTACATCATGGTTTACATTTTCAGTTTGTGAAGAATAAATGGTTGAGACTGAGTCCCAGCTGGTCTCCAGGATATACATATTTCCGTGGAAAACTGAAAGAGCACAGAAACCAAATGTAGAGATAGCAGACAATTTTAGCTGCGTAGTTCAGTTTCCATCAGGCCTGTTTTGATCTGTTATAGACCTGACCATGAGAACAAAAGCATCTTCTCTCACCAGACTAACAGCTGTTTCTCTCTTCTAGTGTTCTGTTTCCTGTGGTGGTGGAGTGCGGATTCGCAGTGTCACATGTGCCAAGAACCATGATGAACCTTGCGATGTGACAAGGAAACCCAACAGCCGGGCTCTGTGTGGCCTCCAGCAATGCCCGTCTAGCCGGAGAGGTCTGAAACCCAACAAAGGCACTATTTCCAATGGAAAAAACCCACCAACACCTGAGCAGGACCCCATAAAGCCCGTCCCTCTACCTACATCCAGGCCCAGAATGCTGACCACACCCATAGGGCCTGAGTCTATGAGCACAAGCCCTGCAGCAATCAGCAGCCCTCGTCCTACCACAGCCTCCAAAGAAGGAGACATGGGTGGGAAACAGTGGCAAGGTAGCTCAACCCAACCTGAGCTGAGCTCTCGCTATCTCATTTCCACTGGAAGCACTTCTCAGCCCATCCTCACTTCCCAATCCGTGAGCATTCAGCCAAGTGAGGAAAATGTTTCCAGTTCAGATGCTGGTCCTACCTGGGAGGGAGGCCTTATAGCTACAACAAGTGGTTCTGACTTGTCATCTTCCCGCAACCCTATGACTTGGCCTGTGACTCCATTTTACAATACCTTGACCAAAGGTCCAGAAATGGAGATTCACAGTGGCTCAGGGGAAGACAGGGAACAGCCTGAGGGCAAAGATGAAAGCAACCCTGTAATATGGACCAAGATCAGAGTACCTGGAAATGACGCTCCAGTGGAAAGTACAGAAATGCCACTTGCACCTCCACTGACACCGGATCTCAGTGGGGAGTCCCCGTGGCCAACCTTCAGCACAGTGATAGAAGGACTGCTCCCCAGCCAAAGGCCCAGTACTCCCAAAACTGGCACACCCAGAGTTGAGGGGATGGTTACTGAAAAGCCAGCTGACACTCTCCTCCCTCTGGGAGGAGACCACCAGCCAGAACCCTCAGGAAAGACAGCAAACCATAGCCATCTGAAACTTCCAAACGACATGAATCAAACAGAAAGTACTGAACCAGTCCTGACTGAGGAGGATGCAACAAGTCTGATTGCCGAGGGCTTTTTGCTGAATGCCTCCAATTACAAGCAGCTCACAAACGACCACGGCTCTGCACACTGGATCGTCGGAAACTGGAGCGAGGTAAGACATTTCCTACCCAAGGCCTGGTGTTACATGGAAAAAAGCTAGGAGTGTTAAATTCATATGAAAATTTCAAAATGAACTTGCATTAAAATATATTCTGTGAAAACAAAAGGAATCAGTCAGACCATGCCCTCACCTCCCTCCTTACCCCCCTAACTCTCCAAATGGAAAAAATAAAATTATATAAATTACATAACTTGTGAAGTTTTATAGATATATTGTCTAGCTTTTAATCTGGTTCTACCTGCCACAACCAAATGAGAGTTCCTGCCTTGTACATTTCATAGGGATGTTGTGTATATCACACAGAATAATGTCTGTGCAGCCCTTTGAAATCATTATGCAGTCCCCATCTTTAAGAAACCTGTTTTGAGGTCAGGGATACAAGACAGAGAAATGTAAACTGACCAGTGAAGACCCCTGGGTGGTCTATGTTCAAGTGCCAGCTATTTGGTGGTTGACTTAAAATGTCATTGCAAAGGGAAGCTAAAAATTTATATATAGGGAAGGAGAACAAATGCAGTGAGATATACTGAAACGTACCCTGAACTAAGCCAGGAAGCCTGGGCAGTCGGCTGTGTAATCACGGCAAATTCATCTATCTTTCTGAGCCTTTTTTTTTTTTTTTTTTCCTACAGAATGATAAGGCAAGTGTAGATTATCTCTAATGTTCCTTCCAGCTATAAACTGCAATGATCCTATGATGAAGGACGACTGAAAAGGCCTGAGTTCACATTTCAATAAAAAACCTAGTTTTGAGACATGGTTTAAAATTGTGAAGTAATCACAGATAGAATGGAAACCTAAGACAAAACTTGTTAAAACAATTGTATAGCTCGCCATATCAGTGATTTTTTTTTTCCTTTTCTTTTTGGTTTGTTTGAGTGCTTGCTTTTAAAAAATTCATTTTGGCTTATTGAAAGAATTGTAATATAGAGGAAGAAGAAAATAAGCATGATGACATCATGCTAGCCCCTATTTTCATGCTCCAGAAATTTGGCTAGATATTTGTCTTTCCATTTCTAGAACTAATTACATCCTTTGAAGCATCAAAATCATTTCTCACCTATTTGAAATCTGAATATGCAGTATACAAACTTGTTAATATAATGTAACAATGCAAAAGAGGACTTTGCGGCAAAGTAATCACATGTTCAAATCATTCAGCATTTTTATGACATTTCATGACTCATCTCCCCAGCTAAAGGGAAGTAAACTATTAGCAGCTAATATAAAAATAGCAATTTTAAGTATAACAATTTATAAAACATGTAATTTACAAACCCTTTTCACAGGTAGTCTCTTATTTTTCCCTTTTGATGGTCCTGATGAGTAGGTAAGTGTCTCACTGATACCAATTTACAAATAGACAAAGAGATTTGTAACAGTTAACTGATTTCTCCAAAGACACAATTGGATGACGAACCTTCTATCTCTTCCCACTCTGATCTGCCATCTCTCTAGTGGATTTTAGCACCAACTGACAACTATACAAAATTCTTTTATATAAATTAATCAACATTATTGGTCATGGAATTGACTAGAAGCAACAAATAGGTAAATTCAAACCATCTCCAAAATTTCTTGCATTAAATAACATAATTGTTTGCATTTGAGCTATGTTTTCACTTTGATTTATGTTTGATTTCTAAAATGAGTTATCACATTTTCTGTCATCTTATCATCTCCATTTAGAGATAAAGAATTCTGAGTCAGAGATAGAGAAGATTTTCATGCTTACAGTAAGCCAATTTGTTGAAGGAAGGAGATGAATGGGTCTCATGACTCCTGACATTTCAGTCCTGTTTCGTTCCTAATCAGTTTCTTTCCTAAGCATGCATCAGGCTTTATAAGCATGATTTTATGCTAATGAGCATAAATTCTCTCATTTAATCCTTACCACGGTCCCAGGAGATTGGTAGTATTTTCCCTATTGCAGAGGCAAGGAAACTGAAGCTGAGAGAATTTAAGTGGCTAGCCAGAATTGTACAAACCTGTGAGCTACGGGGATTTGAACTCAGACAGATGGACTTCAGAACCCATGACCCCTGGCTCTGCAAATCAGAAAATATTACCATCCTCTGTGTCTTTGATTTTATTTGTTTCTTCTTTGGTCATATTACATATGAAAATAATGCCAGTTATGTGGTGGCCTTGGGTAGACAAATGAGAAAATCACATAGTTCACAAGAAAGTTCTTTAAAATAACGTTGAGGCCACTCATGGTTACTTGAGTTCACAGGGGCAAATTGTCCCTCTATTACCACAGTGGGTCCAGGCTAGATGTTTTGAAACAAAATGGATCTCTTTAGGTGTTTTTGAAGTGATAGTGTTCGGATTCACCCAAAGGCAGTCCAGCTACTTGTGCTTCAGCATGCTCTGCAGAATGCGGAGGGAACACTGAGGAGAGGCACCTGCCAGCACCTGTCAAACAGTAGTCTCAAGTATATATTTTCTTCCTAAATCATGGTATCCCTAAAGGGCAGATAAGCAGGACTACTGTCTTCCTTCAGTCGACGCAGTTTAGACAGTGTGTGGCTTCTGGGGACTGAAAAACAAAGAAAACAAGTTGTAGAAGTGGAGGCTACTAATTAATTTGTATTTTGATATTTAGTTAATGGCAATAAGGTCTGAAAGCACTTACAATTAATGACACTGTGGGCCATGAGAATAAAACAGCCTAGGTCAAACAGAATAGGAAAGAGTAGACGATAAAAGGCATACGTGTAGGATTGATATCAGAACCATTCAAATACAAATGACATGTGTGCGTATGCATATGTAATTAGAAATCACACTTGCCTACATTCACACACATTAGGAGGGCTAGGCTCCTGTAACAAATAAAACCCAACGAGTAATGGCTCACCAGAAGAGATGTTGACTTCTCAGTCATGTGGCAATACAAGGTGATTCCAGTCTGCAGTGCTGATGGTAGAGGATGGTGCAGTCATTGGGGAACCCAGGCTGACAATGGCTCTACCATCTTCCCATCATCAAATTTGCCCTGGGGTCACCATCCCAGTCAATCAGAAAGGGAAGAGAGCATAGAGGCACTCCTGCAGGAGGTTGTATGCCCCAAGCCTTGAAGTGTGACAAATCACTTCTGCCTACATTCCGTTGTCTAGAACTAGGTCACATGATCAAACCAAACTCAAGGAAGCTGGGACATGCAACCCAATTATGTGCCCAGAAGAAGAAAAAGGATCATGGCAAATACCTAGCACTCTCTGTCGCTGACTGTAGGGAGCCTGTTCCGAAGCAATGAGGATTTTGACCTATTGGGAGGTTATTGCAATAGTCCAGATGAGGCATGAGAACTATAAGAAGAATGTTCAGGATGAAGAGGGGAAAATATACCTAATATATATTTGAACTTAAAATCAGGGTTTGTAAATAATTGGATATGGGGAAGGAAGAAGAGAGAGGAGAAGAGAAGGACTCTGTCACTGACTCATTGACTTTTTTTTGAGACAGGGTCTCACTCTGTCACCCCGGTTGGAGTGCAGTGGTTTGATGATAGCTCATCGCAGTCCTGAACTCCTTGGCTCAAGCAGTCTTCCCACCTAAGTCTTCCGAGTAGATAGGAACAGGTGCCAACCACTGCACCCAGATAATTTTTTTATTATTTTTTGCAGAGATGGGAGTCTTGTTATGTTGACCAGGCAAGTCTGGAACTCCTGGCCTCAAGCAAAATTCTGCCTCAGCCTCCCGAAGTGCTGAGATTATTGGCATGAACCACTATTCAATTTGGGTTTTTGGCTATTCCATTTGAATTGACTGTCATTGGCTATTCAATTTGAATCAACTATTTAATTTGAATTTTTGTTTGCTGGATGGTGCTCCTATGAACTGAAATTGTCTCTAAAAACAAAATGGTTGTATGATGATCCAGATACTAGTTTTTTTCCCATCCTCTTATCTTTTCATTCATCACCAAAACCCAGAGCAGCTGTGGAATTATGGAATTTAAGTGTGTTTTAATTATTTTGTCTTGAGAATATTTAATACATGTTAATTAATTGATAAATGTTAATTGATTTAATGGGATATTACTATATCCATGCAAACTAAGCCAAAATAAAGTACACATCAACTATGATTACTGTTTGAGCTCAAAGGTTAATTAACACGTTTTGATTATAGTAAATCAAAATACAAAGAATTAATTCTATCTCAAACGTCAGTATCTGACTTTGACAGAAATAAACTATTATTGAATACATTATAGCTCACAAAAAAAAAAAAAACAATAAAAAAAAACCTGGCAACAGCAGTGGAACCATTAACAGCTATTAATTCCTGGCAGTTTGGCTGGAAAAAGAATACTGGCTCAGATTCTAGAGTTTTCAAAGCTGTAAGGACTATTACTAGAATAGAGCTCCACATTCAGCAGGAGTCCCCCCTTGTGACAGGGCCTGGTGCCTGCTCCCTTGGTGCATGTTTTGAGAGAAAATGTTTAATAAATAGAGCTGAAGGCCAGCGCAGTGGCTCACACCTGTAATCCCAGCACTCTGGGAGGCTGAGGTGGGTGGATCACTTGAGGTCAGGAGTTCGAGATGAGCCTGGGCAGCATGGCGAAACCCTGTTTCTACAAAAAATATAAAAATTAGTCAGGCGTGGTGGCTCATGCCTGTAGTCCCAGCTACTCAGGAGCCTGAGGCATGAGAAACACTTGAATCCGGGAGGCAGAGGTTGCAGTAAGGCAAATTCGAGCCACTGCACTCCAGGCTGGGTGATAGAGTGACACCCTGTCTCAAAAAATAATAATAATAATAATAATAAATAACTGTCAGAGAGGTCATGGTTCAGAATGAAAACTCTGAGTTTTGAGTTCCTCACTGTCCTTGATTTTTATTTCTGCCTATTCCTGAAGCTATTTCTTTGGGGTTGCCTCTCTCCGTAATGAGTCACTTATCTCCCATTCACCACATCTTAGAGCCCGTAGAATCACCATTTATATCAATTTTCCTCTGTCTTACAGAAAAAGACATTGTAATCGTTTTTCAAGTCAGTGTCACCTCATCATTGCTGTCCTCTCCTCTTTATGTCCGTTGTTAGTCTAAGGCCCAGTGGTTTCTAATCTGATGGTAGGAGGAATTTACAGATGAAGGAAGATGCTTTTGTTTGTTACAACAACGTGGGGAAGGGGCTGCAACTAGCATTCGATGTCTGAGAGGCATGAATGATAAAAGTCTCGTGACATTCAGCAAAGTCCCTTATAAGGAAGAATTGTTGAGTCCCAAATGCCAGTGGTGCCCAATAGATGAGAGTGAAGGACCTCAGTTACTACTCCTGCTTAGAACACCTGCCCTTGCCTCCTTGCTGGTCTACACACCTCCAGCCTCTGCCTTCTCCTATCTTTTCCACACACCGTTGCACAAGACATGAGTCTGCCAAATTCATCCTCCAAAAAGCTATTCTAATCATTCCAAACTCCTGCTCATAAGTCTTTGATATCTCCTCATTTCATACTTGTTCAGATAAAATCTACCGTAACCCAATATCCAACAGCCTTCTCAGGCTTACATAATCAAGCTTTCAAAATGTACTGCCTCCTACTTTTCTTCATCCATGCTAAGCTTCAACAGCTCAGTTGCCTTAAACCTCCTGCCTCTCCCAGTCTGGGGTCTCTGTTCATACTGGTTCCTCTCCCTGGAATTTCCTTCCCCTTCTCCTCTGCCCTTTTAAATCCTACCTGTTCAGGATCAAGCTTTGAGTCTGATCTTACACAAAGCTTTTCCTGATCCCTAAAACAGGAAGTGATTTATAAAGTTCCTTGGGTGTAATCAGAAATCGCTCTTGCAATGTCCTCCTGCCTTCTGGCCTGTGGGAGTCTGTCCACAGCCCCACTGGACACTGCATGTTCCTTTAATTGTGTTTTCAAATATTAAGTAATTGATATAAAAGCTGAGCTAACACTGTAAGTAGGTATAAACCTTGAAGCCAGACTTTCTGGGGTTTAGTCCTGACTCAATAAATTACCAGCTGTACGTCCTCACTCTACCTCATTTCCCTCATCTATGAAGAGAGGATGATGATAATGCCCAACTCATATGACTTAGGAGATAAAAGGAATAACTCTGTGTAAGGTACTCAGAAGAATGTCGGGCACATAGGAAGTACTCAGTGTTTGCTCTGATCCATATTTACAAAACAGAGAACTTCAGTGCTATGCAGCATGCATGGGTATGGCTCTTATTTTGATAGAGACTTACCTGTCATTGAATTGCCTCATCATTCAGTCAGATCCCTTGGGCCAGTCAGTTAACTGTAAACTGTGGTCGTATAGAATGGAAGTGACAGCACAATTTTCCACAGCATTTCAGAACAGTGTTCATATGGTGCTGATGTGACCCGAGCATCAGTTCCAGTTCTGAACACCTGGACACTGACCCTTGACTTGGTTAGTCAGTCACCACAGGGTCACTGGGTGTAATGAGCCCTCATCCTCCAGCAGGCCAGCCCAGGTTTACTTTCATAGCAGAGGCAGGGGTCCAAGAGCAAGAATGGAAAGCAGCAACTCTTGAGAACTGGAACAGCATCATCCACTGCATTCTGTTGGCCAAAGCAAGTCACAAGAACAGCCCTGATTTAAGAGCCGGAGAAATAAATTCCACCTCTGGATGAGAGAAGCTACAAAGTCCCCTTGCAAAGAGCATGGGTTTAAGGAAGTATGAATGACGCAGGCCATTAGTGCAATCAATCTATAGCACTTCAGCTGTTATCTTTATTACCTAGATACATAATATGATACAAAGGACAAAGTGCTAGGAACTTAACAAAAGAAATCAAATCCTAAAGAATTTTAAGGAGAATGTATTACCTCTATAACTGACCCACTTGGAAAAGATAATGATGTAGTAGAAAATAATTTTGACTTTTCTCTTTCTGTGATCTACAGATTATCTACCTAAGAACTCTATTATGTTATATATGTGTTATAACACAAGAACGTGCACAAAATGAAACATAAAGTTATATGGAGAGTAAAGGCTGGGTGCGGTGGCTCATGCCTGTAATCCCAACACTTTGGGAGGCCAAGGGGGGCAGATCACCTGAGGTCAGGAATTTGAGACCAGCCTGGTCAATTTGGTGAAACCCTGCCTCTGCTAAAAATACAAAAGTTACCTAGGTGTGGTGGCAGTTGTCTGTAATTCCAGCTACTCAAGAGGCTGAGGCAGGAGAATTGCTTGAACCTGGGAGGCAGAGGTTGCAGTGAGCCAAGAACATGCCACCGCACTCCAGCCTGGACGACAGGGTGAGACTACATCTCAAAAAAAAAAAATATATATATATATATATATATGGAGAGTGAAGATACAACAAGAGAAACATAAGTCTGGTCTTTATTTTACAGCGTATCAAACCTTAAGCATGTCATAGATGGAACCTCCACCCTGTCTTTTTTTAGTTCAGCACAATGTTTTGCTCGTCCAGGAACAGCCCCTTTTAATGAGGATGAGCAGCGGAGAGGGGATGCAAGAAAAATCAGTTACAGGAAAGAATCAGGTACATAAAAGGGAACAAATTACGTGGTGGACATTTGCATCGTTTTCAAAGTGACCCCCTGCTAAACCTGAGATATTTAAGAATTATAAACAAACAAAAACACTTTGAGGGGAATGAGCTGTATGTGTGGCAAAAGGCGACTGAATTCTTCACCACCAGTGGATCGAGGGATGAAAAGCATCATGCTATAACATCTTTGTAACTCCAAGTGTGATCTGAGGACCCACAGCATCGGCAGCACCTGGGAGCTTGCTAAAAGGCACAGTCGCCTCCCCTTCCCAGATCTACTGAATCAGAATCTGCATTTAGCAAGGCCCCCAGGTGATTCATATGTTCCCTAAGGTTTGAGGAGCACTACTGTAACAAATATTGTTCTGAGTTTTAGAGACAGAAAACCCTTTGGGCAGGTCAGATCTGAAAGCCTGTCTGTTCATCTACACCATGATGATACCAGTCTACAACGCAGGTTTGTCATGGAGGGAAATAGGTGAGATAGTATCCTTCAGTGTTAGAGAGGAGAGGCAAGGGGCAGACACCTAGACCTGACATCTACTGTGAACAGCATTGGTAGGAAATGTGGCAGCTTCTCTGCAGCCCCCTGGGCAATCATGCCAGGATAATTAATTTTTTTTTTCTTTTGAGATAGGATCTCACCCTGGCACCCAGGCTGGAGTGCAGTGGTGCAATCATAGCTCACTGCAGCCTCAAATTCCCAGGTTCAAGCAGTCCTCGCCACCCAGCCTCCTAAGTAGCTAGGAATGCAAGTATACAACACCATGCCTGGCTAATTTTTAAATTTCTTTAGAGATGAGTTCTCCCTATGTTGCCCAGGTGATCTGAAACTCCTGGGCTCAAAGGATCCTCCTGCCTCAGCCTCCCAAAGACTGAGGCATGAGCCACTGCACCTGGCCTGCCGGGATAAGTTTTAAAGGGAAGCAAATTTCCATTTGCATTGAATTTTTCTTCCACATACAAATCAGGGTTTCTCAACCGTGGTTGTTTGTTAAAATCAGCTGGGGAGTTATTTTTAATACTGAGCATCCCTGGGTCCTACCCCAAGAGATTCAGATTAATTTGTGTAGGTGGGGTGTCCCAAGTGTTGGTAATTTTTAAAAAGCTCTATGGGCAGTATTAGTGAGCAGCCAGGACTGAGAACTGACTCCAGGATCCCAGCGATGGGGCATGTGTGGGAAGGTGACACTCAGCCTCTGTCATCTCTCTCCTTCCCTGCCACAGTGCTCCACCACATGTGGTCTGGGGGCCTACTGGAGAAGGGTGGAGTGCAGCACCCAGATGGATTCCGACTGCGCGGCCATCCAGAGACCTGACCCCGCAAAGCGATGCCACCTCCGTCCCTGTGCTGGCTGGAAAGTGGGAAACTGGAGCAAGGTAACTTATCAGGCTTGGCAGAGTCTTGGAGGTAGAGAAGGTGGGGATGGGTTGGGGAGGGAATCTTATATAAGCACTTGCCAAAGTCGGGTTTTTTTCTACCTTTCTGTTTCCCTTTTGCGTCTTATAAAATCGGGGATGAGTAAATCATGGGCATTACCATAGGCCTACTTCAAGTTACACAAAAGTCTTAGAAGTACAGTTTTCATTAACCCACATGTGGTAACCCACCTGACCTTTCTCTTACAAGATAAACCAGAAAAGTTAAGTTTGGGTTATCAATTGCTTCTCCAGCATGCAATGCTATTTCTATATTACTTCAATTTAGCATTTTAATGAATAATCCTATATTATCACAAATATAATTAAATCATGAATCACCTGTGCTTTACAAAGCAAATATACAGTTTAATCTTCCAGACCCAAAATGAAAAGAAAGCTGAGATATAAAGAATAATTGGTCTTTAAAAGCGTACTCCCTGCACTGATCTTCTTATTTCTTTTTATTTTTATTTTTTTGAGACAGATTCTCGCTCTGTCACCCAGGCTGAAATGCAGTGGCATGATCTTGGCTCACTGCAACCTCTGCCTCCCAGGTTCAAGCGATTCTCATGCCTTAGCCTCCTGAATAGCTGGGATTACAGGCACCCACCACCAGGCCAGGCTGATTTTTGTATTTTTAGCAGAGATGGGGTTTTACCATGTTGGCCAGGCTGGTCTCGAACTCCTGACCTCAAGCTATCCACCTGCCTCGGCCTCCCAAAGTGCTGAGATTGCAGGCATGAGCCACCGTACCCAACCATACTGATCTTTCTGAAGTGCAATTTTACCATCTTTGCTAATCTTACTGTGATTACTCATTTTGCTGTGCTGTCTGCATAGTTCCTCGTGAAAAGAATGTATCTGGTTTTCAGATTAGTTAGCTTTGGTGCTTTGAGACACTAACTAGGCCTGATCTGCTTGTCATGGCTGGACTGGGGCTTAGCCAGCCCTTGGGGGATAATTCAGGGCTCTAAGACACTGGTCAGCAGCGAGATTGAGGGCCAGTTGGCAGGTAGGGAGTACAGAGGTGTGAGCTGTGCATATACCTGTTTGCCATACATGCTCAACCCTAGGAAGCCTGGTGGACCCCTGTCTTCTCTCTAGGGAGATGGTTCCTCTTGATAGCTGAGACACAGGAGAAAGGAAAAGAAAGAGCTATCCAAGAGGTTTAGGGAAGCTGATGTCACCTCTAGACATTCATTTCTTCATCTAGGGAAGAGCTCATGTCCCCAGACAAATAGGACCCAGAGGTGTTACACTGGGCATTTCTGTCTCTGGTTCTCCTGGCAGACTTAGCATCAGACAGGAACATGGGATGCTCCTGTCTGATGGTTGGTCTTTAGGACCCTTTCCCAAAGCAAGGCTCTGGTCTTTGGAAGAGAGGGGCTGTGAGGCTACTCCTTGAGAAAATTACCACCTTCTTTCTCCTTCTATATCATTTTTCTTTCAAGAATCAATACTAGTCTTTTTTATTTCTCTTCCAATTCATGACAAACTCAGGATCCAACAAGGACTGAAAGTTTGGCTACAACTTCTCTTCCATATCCAGAGAAATCTCAAGAAACATCTCATATACCTGAGCTTGCCAAATGTTGACCAAGTCTTAAGTTCCACTTTCCTCTCACTGGGAATAGTCATTTCGCTGGAAATTACATGGCTCATGAAAAGGATAGATGTGTGAAATAACTTGCGTTTTGAAAAGGTCAGCTCCAGCCTGAGGGACTCTAGCCAGTGCAAACCCTAGATGAGAGATCAGCAAGCTCATCTCTGGGGTCCAGCCTCCTAAGGAAAGCCTGGCTTGACTCTTGCCTGGCCTATAGGGTCTCTCTCATGCCTCTCTCTCTCTCTCTCTCATGGCCTATAGAGTTGCAGATATATTGATGAATCTCTGTAGTGCCCTGAGTGGTTTTGTAGGAGTTATTTCCAACACATCATCAAATTCAGCTAGAATGAGGTAACTGCTATATCTAAAAGCTAATCCTCAAAATTACTCTATTCCTACCAGTAAAGAAAGTGTCTCTTTTGTTAGATAATAGATGAACCTTATATCAAAGATACTATTTAACTACTGATTGTCAGTTGCCCTGATTTTTGTTTTTTCTGACTACTATTATGGGTATTGCATACATGAGCAGTCCCTAACCTTTTTGGCACTAGAAACCAGTTTTGTGATCTCTACAAAATTCTTTTCCACAGACTGGGGAAATGGTTTTGGGATGATTCAAGCATGTTACATTTATTGTGTACTTTATTTCTATTATTATTACATTGTAATATATAATGAAATAATTACACAACTCACCATAATGTAGAGTCAGTGGGAGCCCTGAGCTTGTTTTCCTGCAACTAGATGGTCCCATCTAGGGGTGATGGGAGACAGTGACAGATCATCAGGCATTAGATTTTCATAATGAGTGTGCAGCCTATATCCCTTGCAAGCACAGTTCACAATAGGGTTTGCATTCCTATGAGAATCTAATACTGCTGCTGATCTGACAGGAGGTCAAGTTCAGGCAGTAATGTGAGTGATGGGGAGCAGCTGTAAATACAGATAAAGCTTTGCTTGCTCACCTGATGCTCACCTCCTGCTGTGCAGCCTGATTCCTAACAGGCTGAGATATAACAGACTAGGGATTGGGGACCCCTGGCATACATGGCTTATCTTTCCTAGAGATATTAACTTAAATTTTATCTCAAATATTGATTATTGTGACCTCTTTTTCTAATTAATATTTTTTTTGAGGTGAAGTCTCACTTTGTCACCCAAACTGGAGTGCAGTGGCCCAGTCACATCTCACTCCAGTCTCAACCTCCTGTGCTTAAACAATACTCCTGCCTCAGCCTCAAGTAGCTGGAGACCCCTGTTTCATATGGATGTCTGAAGTCCACATCATGTGCTAGGAAAGATTTGAAGGCCTTCCCTCTCAGCTTCATTAATTCTGATAGGCCTTTTATGCTCTCTTTGTGACAGACCTCCAAAATCTAGAGCAGGAAAGAGGATCCCTGGTTTTGCCTTTAAATATCCAGAGAGTTTAGATTCTGCCAAATTGATCATTTGCCTTTTCACAGATACTTTCTCAGAAAGAAAAATTCTAATTTTACCTGGAATTTTCTGCATTATTCCAGCAATCTCTCCTCCAGATCCAGAAACACTTTAATTCTTGTAGGATGACAGGGTATGCTGCAGCCTCACCTGAACCCACAGGTATCGTACCTGAGGCATCCAGGTTACTCACCAGGAACTTCTACCACTGTGATTGCGGTCTGGATTGCGGTTGTTTTACTGGCTTATTTCTGTAATACGATACTTCTTGATGAAGCCTGATAGAACTGCTGTGAACATTTTCTCATATACATGTGTCAGGTTTATGACTATACCAAAGGTCATGTTGCAGTCCGAAGGGAGTGGGTGGATGAGCAGAAAGAACACTCGGGGGCCGTAGGCTGGTGAAAGATTATTTTATTCAACACCAACTCTCATCAGCAGCTTTCTCACACTGCCCGCCCCCATCTCGGCTGCTTAGTCTGGCTCCCACATACAGCTGCACGGCTGACTCTCCCTTGCTTTCAGGGTCAGCAGCTTAACTCTTTCTTTTTCTCTGGGCATGAGCGAGTCAAGCTGTGTCCTGGCTCCCCTCTGTCCATCTTTGCAGATGGACAGCTTTGGCTCTCTCTCTTTCTCTTGGTGCCAACGTGACTGCACAGTGTCAAACAGGGCAGTTATACCTTTTACATACAACAGTGGCTTAGAGCCAAGTGATGGCATGGCCTTCCCATGTTAGGGCTACATGGCTGTGATAACAAGTGGAGTTACACACCTGCACTCTAAACTTGCTGAGTCACACAGGATGTAAACAGCCTACCTCGGCCTATCCTTCACCAAACCACAGCCATGTTCCTTACAACATGGCAGAGGACCGAGACATTCAGATCTCTACCTTTCCAGTTTCTGGAAGTAGTTTATCACAGTGGCTTGCTTCCTCTTCATGCATTAATCTGTCTGAAACAAAAGCAAAGTTGTCATCCTCAGGTTTGTCCCAGAGGCAGTCTTGTAAAAATGCAGTTCTGCAGTATTGAATCGCAGAGGGGCTTGACTTGGAATCAGACGGATCTGGGATAATAACCCTACTCTGTCACTAATCAGCATGTGACACTGGCCATTCATCTAACTACTTAGGAGCTTTAGTTTTCTCACTCCTGAAATGAAGTGGATGATACTGCCTATACTTACTTTGTAGAATTGTTGTAAGGATCAAAAGAGAAATTGTATGCAATGAACTCTGTACATAATAAAAGACCATTCAAATAAGGCCCTGGACAAACATCGAGCTCTAGGTAAAGGTTAGGGCTGGCTATTGGACATTTACGAATCTCTTGCTTCCTGGACTTGGGGCAGGAGGCCTGTGGACAGGTTAGTGAAGTAAGCCCTGCCAATGGAGAAAGTGACCTGAGAAAGTGTTCACTGCCTAGTACTACACAGTCAGGGTGCTCAACGTGTTCCTGAACTCTGGAGGATTTGACCTACCGTGGGTGCTAGTGCTGCCACGTGCCTGACATTGCATGGAAGCTTTGGATAAACAATTTTATTTTTACCATAATACAGGACTTTATAATTCCCACTAAGGAAACTAGAGCTTAGAGTATTTAAATCATCAATATATACTTGATCACAAAACTAATATTAAATAGTCTCAATTCTAAGAAACCATTTGTCATTTTATGGGGATTATGTCATTTTAACTACAGCTTTTCAGAAAAAAATGAAACACTACATAATTAATATGTACATCAGTTGTAGGACACATGCCAGTTTCAGAATGTTAAAATTTGTATGGGAGAGGCTGGGCGCAGTGGCTCATGCCTGTAATCCCAGCACTTTGGGAGGCCAAGGCAGGTGATCACTTGACCTCAGCAGTTCAAGACCAGCCTGGGCAATATGGCAAAACCCCATCTCCACT